CTGAAGTCAAAAGCATCAATCATTCTTTTACTTTGTTGTATGCTGGCTTTCTCAGCTTTGTCTAAAGTGTTCCGTTAATATATATGAAGAAAGCAGTTCTTCGGAGGGGGTAGCTGCTGATTCTGAGGATGAGATGGAAGTATATCTCCAATTTCAGAAAAGATCCCGAAGAGAAGAACAGACACCAGGCATTCGTAAGAAAGCCAAGGCGTCTGCCAGTCATAGCAATGTGCAGAAACCTGGCTGTCGTCACATTTTTGATGAGGATGACAATGATATTGATGATGACCTTGCTAGTAATGAAACGTTGGACTCGAGGACTTTCCCAGCCCTAATTTTTCTTTCTTCTTTATCCAGATAATTTATTCCCTGCTTCACTTCATTCTAAAGTTTTGTATATTGTAATAGTTTGCATTGACCGGTTGCTCTAAAATCAAATGTGTTATTATTTTGTGCGAAACTTTGGGTGCCTTCTTACGCATGCAAGTATTTTATTTAGGCTGTAAATTTGCCATCAAGAAATTGAGTAGTAATTTCTTTTATATTTCCTGAGTAATGGGCCTAATTTTTATTTGCATAGCTGCTCGTACTTTTACATATTTTCCAAGCTTTTGTTACAACTTAAAATTTGATTTCTTTAAATTTTCGTCCAGCTAAAGTCACAGATTATTTTTATTACATTGTTTAATAGAGAGGAGCAGACGGTTGCTGCACTACCAAAACCTACTTCACCTCCTCCACCTCCTCCTGTGCAACAACAACCTAGTGGCAGTCCAAGGATGAGGATGAAGATGGGAACAGCGACATAGATCTGACCAACAACTCATCAGACCATGTCAGTCGTAAAGGTAAGTCATTCCTTCTGCTTCTGATAAGGGATCATTTAGAAATTTCGTCCGTTTTTTGACTTTGATGCATTTCTGAGCTTTGCCCCTGCGAGACTCGGGGTCGGGGTAGGCCACCCCGCAGTACAAGCATGCATGACAGCGAGATGTGGCCAACCTACCAGGCGCTATGAGAGCTTGCTCAGGCTGAACTTGGCAGTTTCGTAGCGGCGAATGACAGACGTTCGTTCTGAATGACCCTGAGGATTTTATTTAATGTTATGCGCACTTATATTTACCATTTTATGGTGTCTAGATGAATTTAGGCGGTTTTCGTCCCAAACGATGGCACACTTCTTGTGTTGAATAATCACGATCTTAAATAGTTCTAATATATAGTCTCCTCAATGGGTTCGAAATCCCGTCTTCTCCAGAAAAATTACATAACACATCATGAACTAATTCAGACAATGCCTTAGACTTTGTTTCGCATTAAGATATGTATTCAGACAAATACTGTAACAAAGATGATTTTGACAATAGAGGAGAAATGTCCATATGAGCTCTCCAAGTGCGAATAATTAGTTCATTGGACTCGAGTATCTAACCAGGTTAGGTTATGTTTCCCCTTTGTTAGGTTATGTTTCACTGATGACAATACTAGAGTACTTATTCAAATACATGTAATTTCGAGCAGGATAAAATTGATAATTTCCTGATTCGTAAAAGGGGGGGGGTCAAGCGAGATTTGCCATTATTTCATACTTTTGCACCCCCTTATACTGACTGAACAGTTGATCTGACCCCTAAATGGACCTGGCCCTTGGATTCCCCTCACTTTTTCACCACGAAGGCCACTGGAGATTCAGTTCTATGAACATTTTTCTCCTTGAGACAATTTATAAAGTATTTGTCGACATTTGGGTAAAAAATCTTTCGCGATTATTGATTGATTATTGATTTTAAAAATCTAAAAAAAATAGCACACTTGTAGATTGCTAAAATGAAGAAATTGACACTCCAGTTTTCAAAAGAAATGCTTTCCTGATTTTTAACTTCCAAAACAAAATTCATGACTAATTTTATGCCGTTTTCTGACACTTAACTAATTGTAACTATGTATGTAAATTTATTTTGGACAAAAACTCGACTATAACTTCTAGCTAACAGTATAGTGATTCATTTCATACTACAGGCAAAGCTCTAATAGTAACGTGTCTCAAGTGAGAGTGCGCGCAAGATCCAAAAAAGAGTTACTGAGAATAACAGGTTTAAAGTTTGAGGGACAGTTTATTACCCTTAACTTAAATATAACGCAAATAAATAACTAGAATGCTCCTGCAGCATAACTTGGACCTCCCTCTTGCGCATCTAGCTTTTCTGCTTTCACCTTCCCAGCGAGCCTTCTGGCTCGCGAGCTTCCTTGGTCTCATTCTCAGCTCGGTGATCAGCCTTGTCAATTCTGGCCTTGTCCACAGTGTTGGCCCAATTAATTTGGTGTCTTCCTGCCACTCCACTGATCCGGTTCAGGACTTCAATTTTACTTTTTTGACCATCATTGAATGTCAGAACAGCTTCATAAGTCCCAAGTTCAAGCTTGGTACGCTGACAAAAGAGAGTTTTAGGAATCGTTTTCCAAACTAGTGCATTGAAACTCTCATTGGGATTTTGGGTCATGCCATCAACACACTTCTTCAGAAGCTCCGATTTAGTTAAGTTTTCATATGTTGGCTTGATGGTATCCATAACAGCAACGGGGAGAGAAGTTTTATGCTTGAATTTTTTCTTTTGGGCAACGGCTTTGTTGAATTTGCACCATGAATCGACGCGTCCGTGCAACAATATCCTATCTGTTTCGCTGCCCCGAAAGACTAGCCTATCTGTTTCGCTGCTCCGAAAGACTAGCCTATCTTTTTTGCTGCCCCGAAAGACTAGCCTATCTGTTTTTCGGCGCTCTCTGCAGCGCTGTCTTCTTTTCATTGTGGGTTTGCTAATATTAACTGTAGAAAAATAATAAAAATTTGCAATTTGTACCTTGATCTTCAAGGAACACGCGGCAGTGTTCACTTTTTTCCTACTGTAAATATTGGCAAACTCACAATAAAAAGGAGACAGCGATGCAGAAAGCGCAGAAAAACAGATAGTCTGTCTGTCTGTCTGTTCCACTAGAAGGAGATGTGCTAGAGACTTGAAATTTTCAGGGTATCTTAAGGTCCACTCCTAGAGAACGAAACGCCTACGGCAAATCCTATCAACCACCCCAAAAGGGCTAAAAGGGGGTATCAAAGAAAATAAGGTAGGTCAAAAAAGTCAGAAAAAATATTTTTTTTATGAGCTCTTACGGGGTAACTCGTCACAGTAGAGTCCTACGGGCGAAAATTTTGTCCGTTTTGCTCTATCTCTCACCGTTTAGGCGCTAGAGGGAGTTTCTATCACGAAAGTGGCCCAAAAATAAACATATTAATTTTAGAAAATATTAGAAGTTCTGCTTAGGGGTAACTTGCAAAAATAGAGCCCTGTGGGCGAAAATTTCGTCCGTTTGGCTCTATCTCTAACCGTTTAGGCGCTAGAGGGTCTTGTTTGACGAAAATAAGTTAAAAATTGCTGTAGTGAACAATTAAATGTAAAAGAAGGCCCAAAACCGCAAAAGAGGTAAAAAACTCCCTCCACCCAACCTGAAAAAACGTTTTCTAAGCAGAAGGGTGGGTTGTAGTCGCGGTGTTTCACCGTTACATCCCTTTCTCGTGTCTACGGGGCAAATTTTAAGGACAA